AGCAACCATGACTTGTTCAAGGATCTTGGGATGGCACACACACACCCGGCATGAGTTTAAGCTGCCGGGTCCGGGACTCAAACTGTAGTCGACTACATGGGAGTCCAGTGACATAGCCATTAATGCTAACTGCTGGTCCCTATTTTTCCATCCTGTCAGGATTTGGGGCATACACACATGGCTGTTTTATTTTTCAAGATGCCAGAGCTGGGGTTTGAACCACAGCTGGTTACATGGGATCCGATTCCCTTGACCACTAGGCTATGGGCTTGACCCTCAGTGACAAGCTTGACTCTTAACTCAGTGTACATCTTTGATAAATAGTAAGTGAAGGACGGACACATACAGGTTTTTACCTGTCGTTTCTCTCCCTCATGCTTCTCTATGTCAGAGTGCTGTTGCAGGCGGTTCAGGCACTCTGTCCTCTCTGCTGAGAGTCGTTCCAACATCAGTTTGTCCAAAACACGCATCTAGGATTCAAGGGAACAGAGTACGTGACTAGGATGATCTAAGGATGGGGGCCCTGGTGTTTCAACTCCTGAGGATAGGCTCAGGGGGACCAAGTGGAATGTGGGGAAACTTCAGCTCCTCATTCTATTCTAGTTTGACCTAGTGGGTTGTCAGAAAAATAGTGAAACATTTTTGCATAGAAAAACAGAAAAATATGTCTGATTTTCTGACAACTCAATAGTATTCATGAATTCTTTTTCAGAATTCTTGAACATGTTCCTATAAGGCCAATGTTTCTTTTTCTTTGAAGTTTCCTATAGGGAATAAGCATTCGCCAGAGAGATGAGAGAGAGAGTGCATGCGAGCGTGCACTCCCTGGGAGGATGACCATGCAATCCCTTCTCCTCTGGCGATTTCGGGCATGCATGCACATGTGCTTGGTGTGTTTTTAAAACTACTAGGTCCAGGACTCGAACCAGTCAGCCATGTAGAATTCAGCCACCTTAACCACCATGCCACTGGCTGGCCCTTTCTTATTTCTGGAAGTCCTGAAAGGTTTAAGAGACTATGAATACATGGTAAACATACAACCTGAACCTATATAGACCTTATAAGCAAATGAGAATTTTTATAAGCCTTAGAACACTATTTTCAAGACTACTATAAAGAAGAACTCTTTCTAAAATCATAGAGATACTCCCCTAATCCCCATACATGCTTTTAAAAGTGTTGGTGGCAGGTCAGCTGGTGCTGTGGTGTTTAAGGCAGCTGGATCCCACATGATCAAATCCTGGACCTGGGGGCTTGAAAAACCCTCTGGACACATGTGTGCCTAAAATCCTGAAAGGAGGGAGAGCTGGAGGAGAAAGGATTGCAGAATGACCATGCCCCATGGGAGGTAGTTTCTCACCCCTCTCCATCCCCCACAAGCACACATGCTCTCTAGAAAAATTAAAAAAAAAAAAAAAAAGTTAGTGGCTGCCTAAGAGATAGTGAAACAAGTGGAATACTCAAATCTATCCTGATTTTTCAGTGATAAAATATTTTGGGTGCTTCAGTAAAGATCGTTGAAGCATGAGCATGTATTAAAATGGCATGGAAGGCACCAGCAGGCGGAGTGGTGGTTAAAGTGCTCCCATATGGCCAACTACGGTTCCAGTCCTAGACCCTGTAGCTTGGAAATCATGCCAGGTACATGTGCATGCATGTCCAAAATCCCGAGAGGAAACTGGAGAAGGAATTGTGGCATAAGCAACCCCCTGAGGGGTGATTTCTCACGTTTTCTCCTCTGTTTCTCTCCAGCGAGCATAGTTGCCCTGTGGCAAAAACAAACTTACAAATAAATAATGTGAAAACCTAAAAGCCAAAACCCAAACAAACAAAAGTAAAATGGTATGGAAGGAGTTTAAAGGGTTTCTTCAGAGAACAAGTGATTACCACCTTTAGCCCTGGACCCCCCTCCATCCTGACATTTCCTGTAGGACACTAATGCCCAGCAGGGCCAAACTTGGAGTGTTTAACAAGGTCAAAGAAGAGAAAGAAACTACCATTAGCAGGACGCAGCCCACAGAAGCTAACTAGTGAGCGCTTCCCTAGCAAGGACACTCATGGCATTCCACAGATGTTCAAGAAATTAAGATATTTATATAAAGAAAGGAAAGATGAGTTCTGGACATATGGTGAGCACCTTCTGTTTGCCTCTTCAGCCTACACATCTTTCTTTGAACTGCTTTCCTCTTTTCTAGGACTAGCCTGCTCCCCCACCTCTTTATCCTCTTCCTACAGATGGCTTGGACAAGAGCAAGCCATCTGCGTTCGTGTGGCTTCATTCTTAGGTTGATCAGCTCAGGGAGGAGACCTGACTCATGCTGGGCCAGATGCTTTTCCCTGCAATGAGAATTAGGACTGAAATTCCACACTGCAATCTGTTACCTTCCTTGGATGGAAGTGAGGTCCCTGAGGCATCCCAGCATTCATCTAATACAGTCCTCTTAGGGCTTAGGCTAGCTGCAGTGGAGTTTTATACACAAAATAGCCTTGACTAATATAT